TATTTGTGGTTTTCTCCATACGCGTCCATTTACTCAAGTATTGATTGCAATGGACAAAATAATAATAATAATAATAGAAGATAGGGGGAAAAAATCCATCCACAGATGTTCCAGTGAGAAGAACGTGGGAGTTCAAATGACAATAGGTGTCTCCAGATTAAGAAGACCACATTAACTTATTAACAGAAGCTGACTATATTCAGAATAACAGAGTTATTCTGACCTATTCTTCACCATACGAAGCTGATCGATGATATCTTTGATTGATTAGTGTCTTCTGCAAGGACCAGCCCATTTGATGAGTTCATCTTCAGGTTGAATATACAAAATGAAATTCAATGTAGAGAAAAGTAAAGTCTTACACTTAGGCAAGAAAAACCAGAAGTACGCATATAGATTCGGAGAAACCAGGCTTAATAGCAGTGACTGTGAGAGGGATCTTGGAGTCTTAGTGGACAACCAGTTAAATATGAGCCAGCAGTATGTGGCGGCAACCAAAAAAGCCAATGCAATCCTAAATTGCATTAACAGAGGGATTCAATCAAGATCAAGTGAGGTACTTATATCACCCTATAAAGACTTAGTAAGACTACACCTAGAGTACTGCATCCAGTTTTGGTCACCACACTATAAAAAAGATGTTGAGATTCTAGAAAAAGTGCAGAGAAGAGCAACCAGGATGATGAGGGGATTGGAGACTAAAACATATGATGAACGGTTGCAGGAACTGGGCCTGGCTAGTCTAGTGAAGAGAAGGACCAAGGGAGACATGATAGCCGTCTTCCAATATTTGAGGGGCTGCCCCAGAGAGGAGGGGATCAAGCTATTCTCCAAAGCACCTGAAGGCCAGACAAGGAATAATGGATGGAAACTGATCAAGGAGAGTTTCAACCTAGAAATAAGGAGGAATTTTCTGACTGAGAACAATCAATCCATGGAACAGAAGTTGCCTTCAGAAATTGTAGGAGCTTTGTCATTGGAAGCTTTCAAGAAGAGACTGGACTGCCATCTGTCAAAAATGGTGTAGGGTCTTCTTGGATGGGGGATTGGACTAGATGACCTACAAGGTCCCTTCCAACTCTGTTAACCTGTATATGAATCTTGAGTTCCTTCCAAGTACTCCTTTGCCAGGCTTTGAGAATTGCATGTGAGAAGTTAGGCAACGAAGGTATGGTAAGTGTTAAGAATTCTTGTGGGGTCCAAGCAGAGATGCTCGGGGTGGCTGGAAGGATGGAAGGTGGAGGGAGGAGGAATATAATGGAAAGAGAACCTTTGCAGGAGACCAGAGTAGGCAATGAAGTTCACCCTTTGTCAGACCTGGAAGCCAACTTTTACATTTGGGCCTTCAGACCTGCCACATTTCCTACTGTGGGAAACTGGAAGGGGGGATTGTATGGAGCATAGGTGATGTATAGTCATAATAACATTCTTTTATTTGAGAGTCAAGGACATCCTGCTATGCACCCGGAGTGGTGTGACTGGGAGGCATCTCCAGTTGGGATAGTGCTTTGATTGGACCATGTGATGGACTTGTGGGTGTTGGGGCAGGGACTTGGACTTCCTTTGGGTGAGGAAAACCTGGAAGCTTTCAGATTCTGGTTTTCCCAGATGTGCCAATATGACATCTCTAATAAAATGGAACTTTGAGGAACTTCAAGCCTTGGAGTCTTCTTTCGTTGGGACCCTGACACCCTTATGACATTTTCTTCCTTTAAGTCCTGGCATTGACATTTACCCAGCTTCAAGAGAACTGGGGATGTTCAGATTGCCTGAGACTCAGCCCACATTTCGTGAAAGGAAATTTGGCAGATATATTGTAGGTAGGTAGGTAGGTAAGTATGTAGGAAGGTAAGTAGGTAGACAGATAAATAGATTAGATATGGTAGATATAGATAGATGATAGAAAGATGATAAATAGGATAGATGATAGAGAGATAGAGAGATAAATAGAGATAGAGATATAAATGATAGCTAATAGAGATGAAAGATAGATAGATGATAGATAGATAGATAGATAGATAGATAGATAGATAGATAGATAGATAGATAGATAGATAGATAATGGATGGGTAAGATGATATTTGTTTATTTGTTTATTAGATTTTTAAATTTATTTGCTATCCTTATTACCTCAAGGTGATTCAGATAGATAGATGGAATGATTGATAGACGATTGGATTTATATATAGATATATATACATACACATATAGTATATACACACAGTATATAGATAGATATAGATGAATATGGATGGGTAGATTAGACAAACAGATTAGATAGATAGATAGATAGATAGATAGAGAGAGAGAGAGAGAGAGAGAGAGAGAGAGAGAGAGAGAGAGAGATAGATAGATAGATAGATATAGATAGGTGATAGATAGATATAGATAGATAGATAGATAGATAGATAGATAGATATAGATAGGTGATAGATAGATAAATGATAGATAGATAGATAGATAGATAGATAGATAGATAAGTGATAGGTAGATAGATAGATAGATAGATAGATAGATAGATAGACAGATAGATAGATATAGATAGCTGATAGATAGATAAGTGATAGATAGATAGATATAGATAGATAGCTGATAGATAGATAAGTGATAGATAGATAGATAGATAGATAGATAGATAGGTGATAGATAGATAAGTGATAGGTAGATAGATAGATAGATAGATAGATAGATAGATAGATAGATAGATAGATAGATATAGATAGGTAATAGATAGATAAGTGATAGATAGATAAATAGATAGATAGATAGATAGGTAGGTAGGTAGGTAGGTAGGTAGATAGATAGATAGATAGATGATACAGATGGAATGGGTGGACGGACAGACGGATGGATGGATAGATGGATGGATGGACAGATAATCAGATAATCTGTCTGACAGTCAGACAGATAGAGATATTAAGAGTGGAGGTATGAAGGAAGATACCTGAGAAAATGCAAGCTTTCGTGGATTAGATTAATTTTCTTACTAGGTTCTAAGGAAAATTAAATTACAGTCCAAAGCTGGTTAGCCCAGCAGGGGCATCCATAAGGTGAAAAAGAAGAGAAATTAAAAAAAAAAAAACGAATATTAAAAAGGGTTCTCTAACCAAGGGGTCAAAGCCCCAAGGAAGCCTCAATCCGGTGACTTCTTCTCAAGCCGACGTGATCCACTTTGAGAAGCATTGCCGGAGGAGGCTAAGAGCGGTGGGCTCTAAACTTCTCAAGGATAAAAGAAGGTCGGGGAAAATTTCCACCGTAGGAAAAAAAGTACACATTTTGGATAAAAGTGGATCAAATAAGCAGAGGAACCTTTGAACTTTGCTCCCTTCAGCTTGTTGTCCTTGAATTATGCATTAACAACCCTCTTGAAAAATAAGGCACCCGTATTTTTGAACGTATCACTGTCTCTATTGTAAGTCAGAAATCCTCTCAAGGTGTACATACATCTACCCTCTGGAATCAGCTGCCCCCAGAGATAAGGAGAATCCAAGACCTCGGTGCCTTCTGCCGTGCCCTTAAAACTTTCTTTTTTCAGCAAGCCGGGCTGGCTTAACATATTTTTTAACATATTTTTAATTGGTTTGTTTTCTTAAATTGGGGCCAAATTAATATATATCCTTTTAATTGTTTTTTAATGTTTGTATTGTATGTTTTTATCTGGCTGTATACACCGCCCTGAGTCCCTCGGGAGAAGGTGCGGTATAAAAATTTGAAATAAAATAAAAAATAAAAAAAAATCTATAAAGTTCAAGAACAGAAAGATTTAGCCTATTTTTTCCCCCCTCTTTTTCATCTCATTTTAAAAGTTCCTGGATTTTGACACCACTAGCTGTATACAGAAGGAAGATAATCCAAGACACTTGGTGAATAGGAAGTTGTAGAAGATGGCAGTTCATCCCTTTCTCAATTACAGGAAGTCCTCAACTTACAATAGTTCATTTAGCGACTGTTCAAAGTTACAATGGCACTGAAAAAAGTGACTGATATCTATCTGTCTATCTATCTATCTATCTATCTATCTATCTATCTATCTATCTATCTATCTATCTATCTATCTATCTATCTATCTATCTATCTATCTATCTATCTAATCTCTATCATCCATCCATCCACCCACCCATCCATCTATCATCCGTCCGTCCATCCATCCATCCATCCATCCATCCATCCATCCATCCATCCA